TCCGAGTCTAATCCAGAGCCACAATCCGTTTGTTTTCTGAACTGAATATCCGAGCTGAGTGGATACAAAGCCTCCTAAGAACACAAGAGCTCCTCCTACACCTGGATTAGAAATCTAGAAGGAGTTTAAAATAACCAGCTATAACAGCAGCTCTCTCTCCCTCTGTCGCTCTCTGAAATATACATACACTGTTTAGGGACTAGTGCACTATTTCCTCTGTCCAGTCACATAAGTACAGACCTGTAAACAGACAAACACGCAGAGCTTAAACACGTGAGAAGCAACATGCACAAACTCCCTTATCCTGTGTAATTACAGTGTGACACTGAACCGGAACATCTCTCTCTCTGTTAGACACACACACACACACACACACACACACACACACACACAAACCCACACATACCACCCCCTGTCATTCTGTGTAAGGCTGCCAGCTACAGCTGCATCATGCTGAGAAAGAGGAGAGAACATGAGTTAAACTTACAGGGTGACTCAGCTCAGTAATGGAGCAGGGGAGAGACAAACAAACACAGGGAGAGAGAGAGAGAGGGAGAGAGAGAGAGAGAGAAAGAGAGAGAGAGAGAGAGAGAGAGAGAGAGAGAGAGAGAGAGAGAGAGAGAGAGAGAGAGAGACCCCTGATATCTGCAGGTATAAGTTCTGCGCATGTCTTGATCTCAACATTATGCATCAATAATTAACTAACACCACATTATTAACACTCATACAGGAGTCAAGGACAGTTAACACTGTGACAAAAATTGGTCTGACAGAAAATGCGTCTGCAGATTTACCCAGCAAGCAATGGGTAACTGGAACAATGTGGAGCAATGAGAGAAGAAACCTACTCATCTAGAATCCTCTTGTTTTCCCGAGGCCTCCTGAGCCACATGTCTTTCTGAATGGGTGAAATGTAGCCGTCTGCAAGCTCATTATGCAGCATGAGCTGTCACTCTCCTAATGAAGTTCTTGTGTCTGGTTATTTCATTGTAATTGTCATAAAGCGTGTTGAAGAATGCTCCTATTGCTGTCAGTAGAATTAAAACTCCCATTTATAAATGAACATGCTGAGAGAGAGAGAGAGAGCAAGGGAGAAAGAGAGAGAGACAGAGAAAGAGACTAAAGTATTAGGCATCAAAATGTGCATACCAGGAGACAGAGATGAGATATTCAGCCGCTTGCTGCTATGCTGGAGGGCAGATCACAAATCCTGAACAGTACTAAACATTATTTATCCACTAAATATTTCTCATATACTGAACATTATGTAGTGTATTTTGTAAGGTTACATATGATAATAAATGGCCAATATTTATGCCTAACATGCGTTAGCCTGCTATATTTTTATTTTTGCCAGCCAAGGCTTCAAAGTGGTGTAACCACCTAAGCATCGGCCCTATTGTTGTTAAATTGCGAGTTTTACCACTGGCGTTGACACAGCCACCAACGGCTGGGAGTCTAAGAGAGCATAATTGGTCTCGCCTTTCTGGGTGGTTAGGATGGCCCTCCCTCTCCGCCCATCATTCAGCGTAATACTAGTCAACATGGGTGTCTTATTAGTTGATGTAACGGAACTGGCAGCTAGCTTTCTCCTCCAAGCAAGAACTGTCTAGTGATCTTGCGTTAGCAGTTTGAAAAGATGGGGAGGTGCTTCACATGGCGGACCTCACCCTCCCAGCTTGGTAGCATTATGTGATGGGGAGATTTAGCTAGTGGGTGGAGCTGGCAATGATTAAATTGGGGAGGAACTTTAGTAAAAATCCAAAAAAGAGGAAAAAATAATGCAAGTCAAACAAATACACATGCACTGCATTGGAATTAAGCGTAACAACCAACCAATGTGTTTAATATTAGTGCGTCCATTTAGAGTTTCAAGTAAAGACTAAATAAACAATTTCAGAGACTTCCCCCCGTTGAGACTGCAAAGAAACTCATTAACATTGCACCACTTTGTGTTTTCTACAGTAATAGAGTGGCCTGAAACGACTGTTTTGATAAAATATCACTTAAAAAAAGTTGGTACAAAACATAAATGGCACATTCTCTATTGCGGAGGCCTGTCCAGTCACTATTCCAGATACACACAGAGAACAAAAGCTCTTCACCCTTCGTGCCCTGTGTGGCCATTGTGCAAAGAGCAGGTTAGCGCACTGGACACACAGGATCCTCTGTGTCTTTATCAGGCTTCAGTCAGGCTGAGGGCTTCAAACAGCACGGTGACACACTCACACCATCAACCTCACACTCTCTCTCCCTCTCTCACTATGCTGATGAGGGGCAGAGGGAATGTCTCACTTTCTTTGAGTACGCCGGTCCCACTGTGTCCCTCAGCCTGTCTCAAAGCACTGCCTGCACACTCGCAGCACAGGCAGGTAGATATATGATACATCTAATATGAACCATCTCTGCACTCAGCAGGTTCCCTGCACTCACTACTGTTATGCTATAAATTGCGTCTTTGTGTGGTTTCTGCATGTGCTGGTTAAACTCTAAACTGAAGCCCATTAATGTCATTTTCAAATAACTTCTGAATTACCATAATTATAACCTTCTCACTGAGAAAACCACTGAAAGGTCAGTCAGAGTTTCTTCACCCTGAAATGCAGACAAAAAAATGTAACCCAGTTTTCTGAGTTACTACATAAAAGGGCTACATTCATGCACCAGTACTGCAAGTATGTCATCATGCCACTTTCTACCATTTAACAGCAACTATACTGGCCAAAGTCAGGATGGCCAACATTAAGCAGAATCTCAAAGGGAACAAGAGAAGCACCAACTCAAGAACACTGTGAACCACTCAGTAAACCTTACCTAAATTGTTCCTGCTCAAGAAAAGTATCTCCGTTTTTTCCCATTTTCATTTTTCTGCATCATATTTGCACCCTTTTATAAAACTTCATTATGAACGGACCAATAGAAATGCACCAGACAGCTCTGAATAAAATCTCTTAAACTTACATTTTGCTTAAAACTAATCAATGACCCATCTTAAGAGTTTGAACCAGTCTTGCCTTTGCAGCAATTTATATACAGATTATGATGTGCACTTGTTTTATATGTCAAAGTAAAACTTAAGGCTGGATCACTTCTAAGTTAAATTTATATATTTTTTTCATCCATTTTGTACACAATAGCACCTGCGCTCTGATCCATGATTTGAAATTCCATTCCTTGCTTTACTTCATTTACACACTGTGAGGTATTATATCACTCTGGCACGCTGCTAGATGGGGAAAAAACGCCGATTCATTATAGTTTAACATTTAGTGGTCATGAGGTCTCATTACACTGGATTTATTAAATATTTGTTCAAAGAAGACAAAGAGGAAAAATAATAGATCCATCAAGCAGCAACAAAATCGTGGAGTCTTTAAAGACCTGAAGTTCTGAATAAACTAAATATGTTGCTGTGAAATGCATGTGGGTTTTAAATGATGAAAATGTCAATATTAAGCAACAATTTTGTCTTCTTTTATAGATTTTCCAAAATAGCTTATTGTCCCAGGCCTAGTGAAATGATCGGTTCTTGGTATCTGAAAAGCCTGCACCAACGTAATAATAATTGATCAACATTATCAGCCCAGGAATTCCACATAAGTGCATCCCCAGTGACTACTAAATTAATCTGCCGCACAGGGCTTGAGTTTGTCAGACTGTTATTGCCTGCTCTTCTCTGTGTACAAGGCAGTCTGAATGCACTGCCAAACAATGACAGCAATGGCCCTAAGCGAGTGAGAGTTATGGCTAATGCTAATGCCAACAGTGCTAATACCCGAATCTCAAAGGGAACAGGAGCAGCAGGCAGACCCATTCAGTAGGAGACACACAAACACACATACTTCTGTACGCCCTGCTTTCCTTACAGCCGTGTGCACAAGTTTGAATACCCCTGATCAAATCAAAATCAGACTAAGTAAAAATAAGTTAACACATCCTCTACCGACATACTGAGACACATTAAATATATCCAATCATCTGCCAATTTTAGTGCACAGTTTGCTATTTTTTGCTTTTGCTATTATTTTTCCCCAATGTTTTAATCAAATAAACAATAACTGCGCATTATGTGTAGATGATCTGTTAACTTCTCTTCACCTAAAAAATCAAAAATCTGTAATTTGATCTGGGGTGCAAAGACTTTTGCGTACGACTGCATGTCACTCCAGTCTTCACCTCTCTTCACCCGTCTTCTCCCTAGGCCTTGCATTTACAGCATAACTTCAGCCAAACATCTTCAGACATGCCACAAACTTCTCATCTACATCAAAAGACGTATCAGAGTTCCTGCTGATCTCGGAGTGAGCATGCATTACAGTTCCACATCCTCAGGCCTTGCCACAGCTCATCTCCTCTCCTTCCATCTCCTTCTCTACAGGTCCTTCTGAGAGCCAGACCAGAGCATGGGTCCAGCCCAGCTATGGGATTGATAAGGAGGATCTGTTTGGGTGGTAAGTGTGCATGTCTGAAGGGACTGGTTGGAACTGGTTGTGTTGTGTGTGTGTTGAGGCAGAGAGCTGCGAGTGGTGAGGAGAGATAAGCAGCTCCTCTAGCAGCAGATGCTGCAGTGTGAGATCACTGCTCAATGCCTGCTCCGGAGCCGCGAGGCTTCTGAGGAATGGGATTAGCACGGGCATCAGACCGGACTGAGCCAATAATTAGCGCCCGATACGGATACAGAACCAATATTAGAGTGCATCCCCTATCCCCAGCGTGTCATGCACATTCATGTTTCAGGTCTAGGGGAAGCTGACAGAAAGCAGGAATGAGAGAGCCTCAACTCTGGTATCTCTCTCTCTCTTTCACTGCCACTGTCCTTCAGACTGTCCTGCAGCACAGCCCCCACCCCCTCCGCTCATGTCTTCTTCAGTCAGCCAGCTGTGTTTGTTTGGGTGTGTGTATTTTAATTAAACAAAACGCTTGATGACACTAGCTATTATCTGATCATAAACCACTGTTTGCCCATTCTACAGCAATAACTTTAGTGTCAAAGTACTCACATAGGCTTCACTCAGCTGTAGGACAAAGAAGGCTGCTGCAACAGTAGGCCCAAACCTGTGAGTGAGAACAATAAACAAAACTACTCTTAGTTTTAGGGGTTATATGTGAGTGCAAATTACACTGAAGATTAGTGACGCGAAATTAACATTCTTGCCGAAACCGAAACCTCGGCCAATATTCAAAGCTGAAAAAAAGGTCATTTATTTATTTATTGTATTTAATTTGTATTTTGTGTTAAATTAGCCATTTTACATATGCTTTTGAATTAAAGTGGCCCATATTCTACATTTACATTCTTGTATTTTATTTGAGATCCCCTTAGAATGTTTGTTTGATTTTCTGTACTAAAAACTACCACCATTGTCTGCTATCCAGCTTTTTTACTTCATAGCACATAAACAAACCACAGATATGATACAAATTTTTTGGCTTTGTGACACATACCTCAAACTATTTAAATTTTATTATTTTAATTAATGGCGTATCTTTTTCCAGATCAAGTAGAAGAAAAAAAATATTACTCAATTTTTGAGTGATTTATGGAATCAACATCAACAACAACAACAACAACAACAAAAAAGCACAATTAGTACTGTGTTGCTTCTCCTTGGGCTTTTATGGCAGCCTGAATTCTTCAAGGCATGAACTTCACTAATGAAAAACAGTATTCCACATCAAGCTGGTTCCAACTTTCTCAAAGAGCGTTCAACAGATCAGATTGTCATGGACCAATTTTTTACATTTCCATCATAAATTTTCAATCGGATTGAGATCTGGACTGTTTGCTGGCCATGCCATTGAGCCTTTCCTGAAACTGTGTATTGACTGTTGAGGTAATGACTGCCATCTCCCCTGGTCCTTCTTCAGGCACTCATCTATCACTGAATATCACTTTCATCCAACATCTTTTGCCACGCTCTGTGTTGGATTTTCTTCTTAAAGGAGTTATACAATCCTTTCTGTTGTTTCAGTTGACAACTCTCTTGTTGGTGTCATGACTTCTTTCAATTAGCAAAGTCTGAGAGCTCGTTAGGGTCAGTCAGCTCTTTTTTAACTGCGCCCTGATCTGCATTTTAGACTTTCGCCAGTATTTGTTTCATAAATGCAAATTACAAGGTGATTCCATATTTTTTCCTCAACTTCGAGTGATTCCACAACTTTTATTCCTCTATTTGACCTGGGAAAATACGCCATTAATTAAAATAATTTTATTTAATTTGCTGAAGGTATGTTTCACAAAGCTAGAATGTTCAGCTATTGAAAATGTTTTGTGTCATATCTGTGATTTGTTTGTTTGCTACAAAGCAAAAAAGCTGGAGGAACATCCTCTAAGTGTGATGATTCCATAATTTTTGCCAGGGGTTGTACAGATGTATGCTAGCAAGGACTTTCCTTTCTGTTACGGCTGTTTCACTGTATTCTGCATTATATTTGAATAGTTTTTTTTAGCCAGACTTTTCAATCTTTTTACCCTTTTTGTCTTTCAAAGTGTGTTGATAGCCAAACTTTCAATAAGTCCCTATTTAAGATGCTCCAGGTCAGGCAGTTTTTCCTAGCCTACTCATCAAACTGGGTTGACAATTGCAAACGTACACACACACACACACACACACAGAATGGGTAAATGTTAGTTAATCTCATTAGAAAACTTCTTTAGGTTTGATTCAACATGACAGGCTAAAGAGGCACACAGTACTCTGAAAGGTGATGGAGCGTGTGTGTATTAAGGCTTATTCACAGCAAGTCTGAACACACGCATATTAATCCTGTCTTTCACACCGAGTTAAAACCAATGGACCGTGATGCTGCATAAAATCTTTAAATCAGAGCCAGCGCAATTTTTTGTTTTGTTAAAAATCAGGCTTATCAATCAGAGCTCTGTTGTGGGATACACTGATTAGCATTACAGAGCATTACAGAGAAATAACTGGTCTTTCTGTAGGGGTACAAATACAGTAAAATCAATGAAACATAGATATTCTAGCACAGTAGCCCAACATCACCTAAACTTTTCAGCTCTTACAGCTCAGTTCAACAAATACATCATCAAATATGTTTGAAATATCGGTATCAATAAAGCAAATATTTGTTGATATCGATATGATTCCAATATTGTTGCGCATCCCTAGTTGCAGTCCAAGCCAATGTACATCAAGATGAGCTCCCTGTAGTTCGTTCACTCCTTTTTAAATGACAGGAGCTACAGTCATGTGCAACATGCTCTCTGTAGAGGATGTATTTACTTATTTTCACTTAGGAAATCAACAAAACTTGTCATTTGCCCAGAGGTTTTCAAACTTTTGCAGAAGCAGAAGCAGTGCTTTGAACTCTCTGTACAGCTTTAGCTTTTGTCTGAGACAGCAGAGCTCTCTCTGTTGTTGTGCTTTTTTGTAGAATAGGATGTTCCCAGCTTGTGCACCTTTCAGAGTTTGTGGAGCACCTACAGGAAAAACGATTCGATTCAATTTAATTCATCATTGCTACTACTATTTCTTCATCCTCTTCCGTCTTCTTCCTGCATTCTCAGAGTGTTCAAAAGCATCGAACTTGATGAAGATTCCTCAACTGCTTTGTTTTTCCTTTTGTCCGAAAAAAATTCTACCTAGCATGAAACGGCTTTTACTTCCACAACAGGGGGGATGTTTCTCCCTCTGTTCGCCTCTCTCTCACACACACAGACAGGCTGCGTGCTCCAGAAAACACTCTAGTGAGACTGAACACAAGGGAACTAAACAGACTTATAGATGTGTGTCCCTATACGACACATAATAACATGGATGGATCAGACCTGTAGCTTCAGTTGAGACGCTCTCTTTCTTCCTCTATCTGTCTCTACCCCACACACACACACACACACACACACACACACACACACACAGCCACAAAAGGTAAGAGTATTTGATGATATGTTGAGCAGAATTCCTCTGGGCTGGAATAAAGGTCTGACAGCAGATCAGGCTGGTCGCTGGATGAGATGCAGAGATCAAAGGCTGAGAGAGCCCACATCCCCCAGCCTGCTGTCACCGAGACAGGCTCCTGGGTGCAGCCTCGGCCCGCTCCATCAAAGCCTGACTGAGACACTCCCACACAGGGGATAAAAACCCAGGGCACCTATTACCCTAAACCAACAGAATACAGCACACTACAGCTGACCTTTTCAAAATCAATCAGCCTCTACTGCACAACAGTAACACTAACCAGAGAGACCAAGCACATTACAGAGCAGAGCAACAAGAACCTTTACACAGTTAAAGAAGAGGAAAAAGAGAGAGAGAGAGAGAGAGAGAGAGAGGATGAAAGATAAAAAGATGACAGACAAAGAAAAAAAGAAGAAACAGAAGGAAACATTAAGAGGGACAATGAAAAAGAAAGAGTGAGAGAGTAAAGGCATACCACAGAGAAAGCACCAGAGCAAGGTGAGCAAGAGAGGGAGAGCAAAAGGGAGAATACGAGAGTCAGAAAAAATGAGTAAGAAAAAAATGAAAGAAGAGAAAATATGAGAAAGACACTGTGAAACTGGAGAGAACATGAGTTAAACTTTCAGGGTGACTCAGGGTGGCTCAGTAATGGGGCAGAGGAGAGATGAGAGAGACAGACACACACACACACACACACACACACACACACACACACGTCATTCCAGTATTTGACTTCCCACATTCAATTTTCCAGCCGCATTTCTACTGAAGGACAAAACCACATTAAACACCGCGGAAGTCACCAAACTTTCCAGTCATCTTTCATACAGTAACGTCCTGTTGACGAACTGTGTTAACATGTGCTTATAAGTTCCTCTTTATGGGAAACACTCGTCCTACGGCAGCTCTCGAATGTTCAAACTAACCATTTAGTCTCACTTGTCACAGACATGCAAAATTAATGCAACCTTTCACTTATGCTTAAAATCCAGCAATCTAGAATAAATATTTAATCCAGCATATTTTCCCATTGCACAGTAACATCATAAGAAGCTTAATTTATAATGTTACAGAGCGTCAGAGTCTCATCTCTTCTGCAGCTCAGATGTAATGATGCTGGTACCAGTGAGAGCAGAGTGATGATTTAGAGCAGGGTGATAGTGGAGGATTACAACCACAAGGTCAAAGCACCACACTGTGCCTCTTATGGGAAGGATGAATCCTAAATCCACAACAAAGCATCAATGACTGACAGCTTATCAATAGCACTCATTAATAATTCAGATGAATATTTCCCTCTTCCTCTCAGTGGAAATCTTAATGGAACTCCAGGATTCTCAATTCTAGAGTCCTCAGCACTTCCAAAACTGGTGGCTGATGAGACGTATCTGCTCCAGACTTGCCGGGGAGCTGGACTATCAGTGTGTGTCTCTTCACAATACATGATTCATATCATAACATTTAGTTTTATACTGAGGTTTGAGGAACAAATTGGATAGACTGCACCAGTATAACAGTGGCATGTTTAAAAAAATGCTATGAAAACTGAGTAATTATTTCTTTACTTCAGAGTTTAGAAAAATAAACAATTTAAGAAAAAAAAAGTCACTTTGCATTGACCTAAACAGCATCTTGCCTGAACACCGTACCTGAATACTCATTCTCAAAATGACCCCTAAAAACAACATGTGAAGCATTTTTGTCATGTGGCTAACAGAACGAATATGCTTCCATTTCAACGAGTGTTTCGGTCCTACGTCTTACGCCCTTTAAAACAAGAGCCCTGCAGACCTGTCGCGTATTTTAATGAAACAAGACTATTTTTTCTCATTTGCATTCATGTGACGTGTACACCCCTTAGCAATCCTGTGAAATCACACACTTCCTCTTGCTATGTTGTTCTAAACTGTATTAAAAGTAGTAATTTAGTAAAATGTAATGATCTTGTTGGTGTGGTAGATGAAGCTGTACTAACAACGAGTGGAGGAAACTCTTCTCTGAAACAGCTGTAAAAACTTGTGGCTGAGATTTCTTTGAAATAAACAGATCTGCTGTTTGTGCTCTCAAGTTTTACACCCGCTAAAACATATAAAACTGTTTAATTAAAGCTAAAAGAGAAAAAGAGAGCTGAAGCAG